ACCTTCTTTCAGAAGCTTGGCATTTCACATCATGTGTCTTGTCCTCATACACATCAGCAGAATGGTGCAGCTGATCGTAAGCACCGTCATATAGTTGAAACTGGTCTAACACTTCTTGCACATGCCTCTGTCCTGTTTCGGTTCTGGAGTGATGCCTTTGTTACTGCTTGTTTTTTGATAAACAGGATTCCCACATGACTTCTTCATATGAAGTCCCCTCTAGAAGTGTTGCTTCATGAAAGTCCAGACTACTCCTTCCTCAAAGTGTTCGGTTGTGCATGTTGGCCACATCTTCGCCCATACAATAAGCATAAACTTGAGTATCGGTCGAAAAAATGTGTGTTCCTTGGGTACAGTCCTCTCCACAAAGGTTACAAGTGTCTCTACATTCCATCAAACTGTGTTTACATTTCCCGTGATGTTGTGTTTGATGAGACTGTCTTTCCTTTTTCCACACTCACATCGCCCACTGACACTCCTGTCGCCGAGTTGCACCCGTTTCTAGTTTTGCCTCATCAATTTGTGGATGCTGCATATTCTTCTTTGTTGTTGCCTAACCACGGTGTAGGGACTGGATGAGGTGCTCGACTAGAGCTTCTTGATGATGATGCGCCACCTACGTCAGCTATTGCTACACCGGCTGCCCCTACTGCCACGGCGGCTGCCACCGACGTCGATCCCGTGTGCATGCCTCATGCACGTGGATCCGCTGGCGTGCCCGCGTCGCCTGGGCTGGCCACCCCCGTGCCCTCGTCACCTGGGACTGCGGCCTCGCAGTCGCCTGGGTCGGCTGACCCCGCGGCTCGGTCGCCTGGGCCGGCGGCCTCACCGAGCGACGACGCGTGCATGTCCCATGCACGTGGGTTCGCTGGAGAGCCCGTGTCGCCCGGTGCCCCTGTGTCACCTGATCCGTCGTCACCAACCACGCCGGGCCGATCTTCGTCAACCGCTCCAGGCCCGGTGACCGTGCTACCAGACGTTCTTGTGAACTTGCCTACAGGAATGTCTTCCTCGCCACTCCTGGACAGTAGCTCCCCTGTAGTGACAGCCT